TCCTGCTGCCAAAAGACCAAATTCAACAGACTGAAGGCTGAAACACTTTAGCTAGAGGAGGACGCCTTGAACGGCGTAAAAGCTGGAATGTGTTTTGCCCCAAATGGGGCAGCTCATGCTGAGCAGGAGAGGCTGCAGGGGGAATGAATGGTGGCAGCCTTCCTCATGATGCCATCGGCTAGTGCCTTTGCCCCAGACACCCACCCCAAAACAGGCCATCCTCTAGCTCAGAGAGCGGCACATGCTCTCTTGGCCTCAGAGCTCCTAGATTTCTTCCTACAGACATTTTTACTTGAGGAAGGACTGACACTCTGCCTGCTTCCCTCCCAACCCTGGTCCTGGCCCAGACCAGGGTTGCTCCATTTCAGTCTGCAGTCTCTGCTGATGTCTGCTGTGCACCCTCACATGCTGTGCCAGTGCCACCTCCAGTTCAGCAGCCCCAGCCTCCTTCCTCCCTGCTGGCACTCCAGGATCTCACCATTCCTTGCCGCATCATCCACTTAGTCAGTTGGGCTCCATCACTGGAGGCACCAGACTCCCCCTGGTCGAGAGAGAGTCCGCACTGAAAGCTGCTGTCACAGAAGGTGAGGGAGAAGGAAGGCAGTGGGTTTAGGGTGGGTGAAAGAACACACTAGTACTGGTGGCCTACTTCTCTGATTGCAGAGAGAAGGCAACTGGACTTGGGAACCTGCTGAAGAGGAATAAAACCTACATTTTCAGGTGGAAATTTCCCTGCAGATACAAGGAGGCCATCCTGTTACTGACTGAGTCAATCCCAGACTTTCCATAGTTCCCCATCTCTGGGGTTTAAAGGATGAGCTATATAGCCCAGGCAGCAAATGCAGGTTGGTGGAGACTGGGAGCTATCATTGGTCAAGTTAGACACATAATCTTTTCCAAAGAGACAGCACATTTATTGCGCTGGTGAGCAAGGAGGATACTCTCATTCCTGGTTATGCGCTAAAAGCTCTGTGGCCACTTACCGTTCCTGTGTTCTGCTGCCGGGCATCCAGGGCACCAGCGAGTCCTTTGGAAGCTTGGGGATCTTCGTACTTTACCCTGAAAGCATGAAGTGAAGATAACACACAGGCTGATGAGATGCCTGAGAATGAAAAGCAGGAACTCTTAAACATATATTCAGTGCTTCTGTCTGCACAACTTTCCATCTCTTGTCATTCTGCTCCCGAGAGCTTCTAGAAAGGTGTGCAAAACCCCTATGAAAGGTGTAGCCCACCACAAAACAGACTAATCTACTCACTGCAACATCACTGTGGAATACCACAGGACAGTCCTGGCACATGACAGAAGGACGACAAGGCATCATATGAAAACAACCATCCAACAGACTAAAACACAGACTTACAGAGCTAAGTGCATCAACTCTCATTTCATCAACACTCATCTTCTCTGGGGCTGACTACAGAAAGAGATAACTAGCACAGACTGACCAGAAAATTACAGCTACTTTAGAAAGGATTTGAGCAACAAGCCCCTACATGCTCACCTACCTTCACAGACACAAACACAGCTCAAAAACATCTCTTTAACCAATATCACTCAGGAACCAATGGTGGCAGAGACTCACTGGTCTATGCTACATAGGAGGTGAGACTGGATGATCAGAAGAGACTGGTCTCTCATCGTCTCCAAATGCACCATTACAGCAACCTCTTTCCACACACAGACACGTCTCACCCATAATCTCCCTCATCCCATTTCTGTGTCCCCTCTAGGCTGCTACCACACATGCTAATGCCACACGTCACCATTTGATCCATGCAGAGTGGGGAAAACAGTCCGTCCATGCTGTGAGAATGAAGCCTCTCCCAGAAACTCTCCGTAAATCTCCTCTCCAGCTGCTCCCAGGCCCTTTTTTTCAGATCCAGCAGACCATCATGTGGAGCTGTTTTTGTTGGGGGCCAGGGGCTTGGGCCACCGGTGCTCAAACTTCTCGAAGAAATGCTCATCAGTGAAGGGGCCGCTATGGACAATGGCATCAAGGATGAAGTACAACGCTGCTATCATGCCACTGATGAGGAAGAATGGCAGGAAAGGCTTGAGGTGTTTCAAGCACTGCTCCGCCGAGACACACATGAAGCAGGGGGGGTCAGGAACAAACCCCAACGGCCCTGCCTATGTCTCCTGCCAGCACGTCCCGTCCAGGAGCAGCAGGTCAATGGGTCTGTTCAGAGGGAGGGAGACAGTGAGAGCAGAGGCTGGTGAGTGAAATGTGAAGCCTGAGCCAGTAAGAGCAGAGGCTACCTGGCAGGAGTGCAAATGCAGGCAGATGGAGGGCAGTGAGGAATAAATAGAAGATGTCTCGTTACTTGTGCAGAGATCACAAGCCTCAGTATGCTAAGGATTGCGCCACAGCGGAGAGGATACGATTCCAGCCCTGCCCAGATCTCCCCCAGCCTCCAGCACTGAGAACATACCAGAAGCTCCGATTTCAGCGCCAGATTGGGTGCTGTTGGCACCGCTGCTTTTGTCCTGCACTGCCTCTGTCCTAAGGCAGCACACCCCACAGTAAAAGAGGTGGGGAAATCCATGGGCAAAACACATGAAATTGTGTGCAGGCCACGTGTTTCCCCACCCCTTTCACCAGAAGCAGTCTGAGGCAGAGGAATGAAAGAAGACTTCAGGGACTTTAACTTGCTATTGCCCAGCTGCAGAACAAGGCACTCGAGTGGATGGAGATCAGAAGCACAAGTCTTTGAGGGCTGGTGGCAGCCACGTGCCTGTGGGCTGTACTGCTTGGTAACCGATGGAGAGCAGTGGATGACTCTGACAGGCAAAATAGTGTGAGATCAGCCGCAGTCACTCACGCCAAGGGGATCCGGTCAGCACAGCTCTTGTCAGGTCCTCCCAGAACAAGGAATCCACTCTTTGCAGTAGAGAAGAGACCTCTTCAGTTCAGCCAGTACTATGGAGACCCAACTCCTAGTGCTTTACACCAGGAGGTCTCAAACATACTATGGAGGAAGAAACATCAGTCCCGCTTACCAGCGGCGCCCTGCCACCAGCAGTGCCCTGCCTTGCAAGCCACACCTGACTGCACTCTTCCTGCACTCCAGTTCAATACTCTGTCCATTAGGCTGCACCTATATTCAGCAATTCCCAAATTCAACATCGCCCCAGTCAGGGCACATGAGTTCAGAGACAGACAAGAAAACTCAGCCCGTCCCACTCCGCACCTTCATCTTCAGCCAGAGTCTACCCAGCACATGTGGCACTGCAGTCCCCACACGCAGAGACCACTTCCTTCTCCCCATGCCCAGGACGACGCTGTGAAGGGGAGACGATGGCAGCAGGAAGGACTGGGAACACAGAGGTCATCCTACAAACACCATGCTTCAGAAGAGTGCATTTCTATTGCATCCTACTGTCTCCCAGGAACCGCTGCCGGTTGGGCTCACAATCCCAGTTGCCCTGAGCCCTCCCCCTTTGGAAGAAGGCAGGACAGGACAGGACAGAGTCGGCTGCTGCACTCACTCTTTGCGCTGCTCAGCCAGCGAGCTGCAGCGTGTCAGGGCAAACATGTCAAACTCCTCTTCCAGCTTGCCAGAGGTGTCGAGGGAGTGCAGCCCCGCGCTTACACTGCTCGAGCCCAGGTCTGTGGGAGAGAGAGCAGGGTGAGCAGGCAGCACAGAGCAGTAAAGAGAGGGCCGTGGGCTTGGACGCTGGTAGGTGAAAAGCTAGCATCAGAACAGGCTAAACTGCTCTAGGCCCACTCCTCTATCCTGCCCCTCAGCTGCACCACAGTCTGTGCCTGTGTGCAGTCTCGTGGGTGAAGTAACAGAAGCAGTTTCTTTGCCTGCTCGGCAGATATTTTTAGCTCAGTCTCAGGCAGCAGCATCAGCATCAATTTACTGCACTGATGCTGAAGGCTAGATGTTCCTGACCATTTAAGACAACTCAAAGGGAATTGCTCCATAACCTGTGCTTCTGGGCACGCACCTCTGAGACAGATGAGTGGATTTTCATGACTCAAGTATCGTCTGAAAAAAACCTGACTTGTCTCTAAAAACAGTCTTGCCAATTTTCTGTAGCTGTACTGTACTGAATGTGCTCCAAGCTGTACTGAATGTGCTCGCAGCTAGTGAGAGCTGCAGGCAGTGGAGCAGGCTGTTGGTATGTCTTGCAGAACTCTCAGGACCTCTGAAGCTTTATGAGTAAACAACCTGTTAAATCCTGGGTTCTGAGCCCAAGATGCTCATGGCTGCCTTTGCAGCACAGCTCAGCTGCTTTTCTTCTCCCAGACCTCAGCGGTCAGCCTGACACCACACAGCAAGAGGCAACTGCACTGCTGCTAGGCATTGCAGAGGGAGAAACTTTCTCCCCACCCTGCTGGAAGGCCCAGTCCTTAACCACAGCCTAATGCTGACATCCTTCTTAAGTCATGTCCACCTCCTGCACAACGTGAGGTGTGGATGCTGAGACACATGCTTGTGTGCCATGGGGCATATACAAGTTTCTTCATGAGTTTATTAGTTGACAATATACCCTGTTTCTCTAGGTTACTTTATGAATGCGGCTAAATAATTTTGGGGGGTGATTCAAGACCATGAAAGGATTCCCAGAGGTGCACAGGAGGACTGAGAGGAAAACTGCATGGCAACATACTCATTCCAGCCAGCTGAGAGGACAGGCTGTTGGTGACTTCAGGCTGTCTCACTGCAGGATTACTGGGTCCCAGGTCAATCAAGCTGTTCTCTGCCTCATTTGGTGCCTTTGGAGAAAAAAAAAGGAAGACGGTGGAGAGCTTCTGAAGCCTGGACACCCTGACCCTTCAGCGCTAGCTCATTAACACTGGAAAGGGAAGCCCTTCTGCATCCATCGAAAGATAATAGTTGTGAAGCCTCTCCCTGTGAGAAGGGGGACAGTGATCAGAGAACTGGCTGGGAGTAGTGTCCCAGGGCAGAACAAGCCTTGGTAGCCAGCCTCCCAGCTCTGCTGGATGTCACTGAGTAGGGTAGGGGCTGCTTCAGAGGACAAGGCAGCGCTCAGAGGACAAAGGGAGGCTCACATGGGAATTGATTCTCTCAATGTTCAATACTGGAAAACCATAACTGCTGCTGGTCTGCTCTTGCTCTTTGGGTGAGAGGAAGGCTCCCACTGGCAGGGAGGGAGAGGCTAGCAGTGGCAACAGGAGTGTCCTGCACACCAGCGTGGCCTGGTGCAGCCGGGCTGGGAGAGCAAAGCCTACAGCTTGTAAGTGGGGCAGACTGAACGTCTCTCCAGTTCATCAGGACACCGCCGGGCTTGTGGGATGCAAACCGAGCTGCACAGAAGGGAGGTTGCTCCAAGTTACCTGAACAGGCTGTCCTGTCCGCAGACGCTCAAACCTGCAAGAAAGAGGACAGGATGCATTTCAGTACTGTATGCCCATTCACCCACAGCCCAGCAGATTTCTTATAAGGCTTGGCACAGTCTGCCCTTTCCTGCATACTTAGGAAAGGGGGACCACGGCTTAGGGCCCAATTCCCCTTCAAGACCGAAGACACCACAAGGCCCACAGAGTTGATGTCTCCTGAGAGGTGGTGGTGAGGAAGCTCCTGGTGATCCTCCAGAACTACCTCTAACCAAATTGGTTCAAACCCAGCTCTCCATACAGACACAAGGACTAAATTATCCAGACTTTAGCCTAGCGTAAGAGATGGGTTTGATGAAATGGAAGAAAAAAAAAAGGGTGCCGACCCCACCTGAGCAAGTCCTTTCTGTCCCTGTCTGTCTCAGAGCTAGAAAATCACCTCATTGCACGCAGTTCTCTCCTTCTGGGTTATCTTTATATTCCATCAGTAACTTACACAGCAGTCTTGAAGGGACAGGAATAAATCAGCAAAAACTGAGAACTGGCTTTGTTCTCAAAGATGGACAATATAGGCTGATACTTCTTGAGCATTACACTCATGGGTAGACCAAAATGTGGGATAGGGGGCCTTCCAGGGGCAGTAAACTCTTGTGGAAGAGCAGGGCAGAGAATAGAGGAGAGAGGTACCTTTCATGGCGCAGAAACACATTGTTGAGGTTGTCATTGATGAGGAGCAGTTCCTCGGTGAGTTGCTCATGGAGGACACGAGGTATCAGCTCCAGCACGCGCTGCTGCATGGCTCTGCATGTCCGATTCAGCTCCTGCTCACAGCAAGGGAAAGTTGCCACAAAGGTCACGCTAAGGCTGAGCACTCACAGGTTTGGAAGTCTGACTGGGACAGGAGGACCCCAGAGGCTATTGGGTTCTGTCAGCAAGGGTTGATGGGCTCTTGGTGTGAGAGATAAACTGAGTCTGAGCTTTACAGAGAATAATTGTATGCCTCTTGTGTAACACATCACCCAGAAAGAAAGGGCCTTGGGGACTACAAGTGCCCATGTGAGATGATTCCAGCCTCAATAGGCTTCCCTTGGCTGCTGAAACTCCACCTTCCCTGTGTCTCCCTTCTCCCATCACTCCCTGATAAGCCCCATGCTAGACTGTCCAGTGCAATTGTTCCCCACGCCTGGCATATGTCATGCCTCAGTCTATCAAGTCATTGCTAAATCGAGCTGCATGTGCCAGCCCTCCGCCCTGCCAGTGTTTCTTACTTGCAGCAGCTCCAGGTCGGAAGGCTCAGCCTGGGACGGCACCAGCTCTGTCAACATCTCCGACATGACCTTCACGTTCCCGTTCACCACTTCCAGCTCACTGCGCAGCTTCCCAATCTGCAAAAGGCAGTGGAAGTGACAGCTCAGCCTGGGAAGACTGGGGACACAGATAAGGTAGAACCAAACGGCAGTGCACCGCATGTGTGTGCGCGTTCACAGAGCCGAAGGGAATGGCCAGCGAGGAGCTCCTGTGTCACTGCTCAGTTCAGCTCTCAGGAGCTCCCAGCAGAAGGAGGATCCATTACTTACCATCAAGTTCATTTGCTGGTAGCAGATGCCAGGCCCTCACCTGAGATCTCTGGCCACTAGCCTAGCCTTGATTTTTAAGAGCCAGCACAGGCTGCAGTTATGACTAGAATCTCTCCCCAGCTAGCAGCTCCTGTGTGGCAGCCACTCAAATCGTTTCATTTCCAAAGCAGTGTAAGAGGGGGAAAAAAAATGAATTCCCATCAAGAGGTGAGCCTGGGCTAAGTGTGCAGTTGAAGCTTTATCCCTCTGGTTTCATAAGCTGCTAATGAGCCTCTCAAGAACAGTTTCTAGCCTCTGTTCTGCAAGGGATGCAACCTACCGGCAGCTGGAGGATTGCTGCTGAACACGGTGGCATATGAAGTCAGGGTGAGGAAGGAGAAAAGAGGATGGGGAAATAAGCGAGAAAGCCCTGGTCTTTGGGAACCACATAGCCAGACAGGGTTGATTCATATGAAGTCAGCAGTGAGGCGAGATAAACAAAGATAAGGAGGCATCTACTGAGCAAGCTTTTGCTGTACTGCGCTACAAAGACCTCACTCAAAACCTCTGTGTCTCAGTTCCCCACTTCCCTGTAGCCAGGAGATCTTCCCTCTACCTGCAAGCAGCCCTGTTTTAGAAAAACATAACCACTCCGTGTTTGTGGTATCCCAGCTCATCACTGTGGCCACAATGAAGCTCTGGGGAGCTCTCGCGGGACTATGGAGGAATGGCTCCATTTGAGGACAGAGGCTGGGGAAGGACCAGGACAGCAGTCCCTGAACAGTGTTTGTGAAACAGCCCCCAAACGCAGGGAGAGCCAGCAGCACCATGGGGCTCGTGCCCAACTCACCTGCTCTGGTGTGGGTGTGATAGGCGCATTGCTGGATGTCCCTCTCCCAGCGGGTAGGGTGACAGGGTGGAGGATGGACTCTATCTGCTGAGGGGAGTTAGCCGCAGGTGAGTTCTGTCCGGACTGAGAGTTGGAGCTATACACAGTCTACAGACAGAGGTGGGAGAAGTGACAGAGAGAAGGAGACGTTAGACACTCACAGCTGACAGGGCAGTGCAATGTTGAGTTGATGGCAACTCCCCATCTGCTTTCAATAGCTCTTCCAGCAAAGAGGCTGTCCTGGAGCTTCTCACTCCCCAAAAGCCCTCTAAATGCAAGCTAGAGTTCCTGAAGTACCCTCATAGCTCCAGAACGGCAGCTGCCCAACACTTTTCTCTTCAGCAATGCTCCCATACCCTCTGTGGTGTGTGAATGGGTGACAGCATGTCCAGATCAGTCATAGGGAACTCCAGGCCCTTCCGTCTCAGGTCTTCATAGACAGCGACGACACCAGTCAAATCTGGTGAGCTGCGGAAGGCATCTGCCCAGGACTGGGGAGAAGGAGACAGTACAGCCGATCATCATTTGCAGTAGTCTTCTGTACAAACACCTAAAGACAAACACTCCCTGAACTGGTGCAGATGCTCACTCTTCTTAGCTCACCTGGATGAGGGTCAGCACCTTGTCGTGCACTATGGCAGGTGGATTGTTCTTTGGCAGGATTGTTCTCACCAGGACACCTTCTACAAAGTCCTGGCTGGACACAAGCACATGGAAGCGATGGCCGCAGTTTTTGACGCATGTCTCCAGGACCTTCAAAGGCAAAGAAGCATTAGCTATAGTCTTTCCTGCCTATGTGTGTTCGCCTTGCTGGCTTTGGGTACCTGTGTCTTTTCAGCCAAGGACCCAGCTTTACAGCAGGATATCACAGAGCTGAGAAAGAGCCGTGACCACTCACCGTCAAAGCCAGCATAACTTCATGGAAGTTCTTATTCCCTACAATTCTCTTCTTAATGGCTCGGAAGGCATCTTTGGGCCTGCAGGAGAAATCAGATGTAGAAAGATCATCAGAAGTTGAGACCCACCTATGGAGAAGGAAAACAAACCAGCCACTAACTCTGGATGCCTCATACTCAGCATGTGACCTTCCCCGCCACGTTTTCAGGGCGGCTTGAAGCAATGACTGGTAAAGCAGCTTCCACCTGTGGTTCTGCAAGAGGAGCAGGGTCCTGCTATTAGGTGCTGTTACTGAAATTGGAGGCCTCTGTGCTGATGTCTGCAACAACTCAAGGTGCACAGGACACAACAGAGAGCAGAGGAAAAGCAATGCTAGAAATGCACTAGTCGGGGGCAGAGCAAAATCCCACGTCAGAGAGACTGAATAGGAGATCACAAAAAAGCCTGGCATGGGTTAGAAATAGGAAGGAGAGAGCAAGTTCCAGCAATCCCTGTGTTGCTCAGAGAGAAGCTGTTGAAGATTTCCCTTGAGGAAAGGAGGCTAAAAAGCAGCAGGGCAGATGCAGTGGCAAAATCTTGCCTATATTGCAGGGGGGCAAGAGAGCAGCAGCATAGCAGGGTCTCCTTAACCATTTTCAGAGGGCAGAAGCAGTGCGGTCTCGGCCCACTGTGGTCTTATGAAGGGCACAAATGAACCAACATGCTCTGGCAGATCACAGGATGAGAGGCTGGGCTGGAAGCACAGCAGTGCTGGAAGAGAAGAGTGGGGTGGAGACACTGAGGCAATGAGGAAGGCAGGAGTGGATCAGCCTGTGGGGCAGCATGGCTGCAATGGATGGGCATTATCCGGGGAATGGGAGAGCCCTCTGTGCCAGGAAGGTACAGCTGTGTTATCAGGAGCCCAGAACTTTAAGACCAAGTGGCCACAGCTCGGGACAGAACTGTGGGCAGAGACAGGCGTATTTGCACCATGGGGATAGCATGGAAGAGAAGTGGTGACAGATCTGTGAGTAGAGATGCTTGACTTTGTTTACATACAACCGTGAAGCTGAAAACTGGGCTTACTAATCCTCTGTCAGCCTCACTGCGGGATGGGACATCAGAAGTGAAACCTATATCTTTTATTCCATGTAGGACCTTCTTTTTTACATGCTGCTCTTGACATCTCCATTGTGAGAAGGAGCAGTCCCCCTTGCATTCACTGGCAAATCCCCAGGTCCAGATTTAACAAGTCTGGCAGATTTCTGAACAGCTCTCCGCAGGGAGAGGAAGACAAGGGCTCTCCCACCCACTTTACACATGTCTGAGTGACCATACGTGAAAATACCTGAGAAGAGAACCCCAGCAGGACTTGCACAGTCAGAGGACTTAACAGCAGCCTGAGATTCTCCTCTCTCCTCAGTCACCAGCCTGCAGATTTTTACACTCCCAGTGGAGAGAAAGAGAGGGGTATGAAGGAGGAACAAACTGAAGTGGAAGAATTGCAAATACGCCTTCGGGAGATGGGAGGCAGCCTGGCTTGAATCGAGGTTTCTCTGGGGGCCCTGAAGGCCTGTTTGAGTGGCTCCTTGTGCTCATGAAGATTACAGGGAAGCATCTAACAGATGCTCTGACAGCTTTGCTGTGTCTCTAGGTCTCCCAGCAAGGTGTCGTCTAAGGGACTGTTGGGAAGACTAGCTTATTACCTCCACCAGTGCATGCTACCACTGCAGTCTAGGGATGCAGTGTTACAGCGTGTGCTGGGACCGGCCGCAGGATGCGTACCCTTGCCAGCTCCCTTACCCTTCTTCAGTCTCGTTAATGATGTCGCAGATCTCCATGTTGAGAGCCCAGTCCTCATTCCGCAGGGCTCCATCAGTAGCTCTCTCTGGAAAACAGAAACCAAGACAGGGTAAGGCTAAGAGCGGCCCTGGCACTCTCACAGACTGTCACAACACCCCAGAGCCCAGCCTGCTTCTCCCTAGCTTTCACCACAACTGGCAAGGAAGGGAATCTGTCTGTGAAGACCAGGCCACCAAGTGCTCCCTCCCCAGTAGGTGTCACCACCGCAGAGCACATGGCCGGCTGACGCTGGGACTGGTGGCCTCTCAACTCTGCCCACGTCACCCATGCTACCAACACACAAACACACACGGTGTGATCCCTGGTGTCCTGCACACGAAGGGAGAGGGCTCAGCACAACGGGAGAAAAGGGGGCTTATTTGCTTTGTTGGTGCAGGGCCAGTAACTGTGAGTTTGGTCTGCTCACATGGACACCGATCTACTGTCAATGGCACCACTCTTGCTTTGCACCGAATTAAGGAGACAAAAGAATCAATGCCCTTCTTCTTACATGGGCCTTACAAAAATAAACAAGCATAAACAGCCAAAGCAGATGTCTCTCTTGTTTAACATTTACACCTCTCCCCTGAACTTCTGGCCTCTGGGGAGTATGGACAGAAGTGGACTGCAGGCTGAAGTCGAAGCAATATTGTTTCAGCTTTGATTGCGTCCCCTTTAATTAGGAATTCCTCAGTCAGCCTTGATGTTATTCAAGGCAGAGATTTGGGAAACAAGCAGCTATTACCAAGAGCACCAGTGTCTCCACCCTATAATCAGCCACATCTTGGTCCCAGCCGCCCCAGCTGACTGATGCCTTCAGGGACAGCACCAGTGGCTGGGGAAGGAGAACCGCCAGCGGGGCAGGCAGGAGCCGCGCGCTCACCAGACCACAGGGAAACACAGAGATGCAGCACATGGCAAGCAGAAGACAAGGAACATCCTTCCCAGCTCTCCCATCCTACAAAACGCCTGACAGCACTGGGGCAAGAGAATTAGAACTAGCCAGACCGGTTTAGCACCTACCAGGTACTCTTCAGGAGAGCTCAGACCCAACAAGGTATGTAGACAAATGCCTGCATTTTCAAAACTGCTGTCCCTGCAAAATCTGGAGCTGGCCCTTGGTGCTCTGGGTCCTCTACCCCTTTGAGAGGCTCCTCCTCTACAGAGGTGCCTTTTTCTGCTTTTGACCCAGCAGCTAATGATCCCTCTGTGAGAATGAAATGCAGTAATGGCACAGGGCCGTAACACTGGAAAATGGAGGTTTTTTAACTCCTGTCTGGGTAAGCCCATCCATCATGCTTTCGGATGTCCCGTTTTTACGGGTCAGGCAGAGAGCTATTCACAGCACTCTGCAATGCAGCCTCTTTTACACGTGTCTCTCCCACAGATTACACACCACAGCGTGAAGTTACCTGTCCACACCTTACAGCAATCCAGCCACCACCTTTTCTGTTGACTGCAGAATGTATTGATTACACTGTGATTACGCTGATTACATGGAGGCCACAGCCAGATGGAAGAGGGCAAAGGAAGGAGAGTGGCAGAATGTTCTTGATGCTCTGCCACCTTTCTGAAGGTCTGGCTACTACTGTAATATCCTGAAGACCCCGTGATTCAGGTGAACTTTTGTCACTGTGAGTATTAATTTTATGTAGGAATCCTGGTCTCTTGCAGATCTAAGGTACCTCAGTGAGGCACAGGAGGTAGCACTGCACTCGGTGATGTGGTGGAGAATACATCCAGGGCAGAGGGCTACAGAGGAGCATGTCTGGTGCACCAGGGCATATATCAATGCATGGGTGAAGCTGTGGTAACACACGGGGGAAGATGTTTTCCGTCAGGGCTCCTTTGGGATCAGGACTCGGTACAGTAGCAGAGCTCCAGGTTCCCTCCTGCTCTGGGACACTGTACAGCCAGCCTTGCCGGCAGGCAGACTGCAGCTCAGGTCGGTCTGATGGATTTGGCACACATGGTCACAAAGCCACCCTTCACCTCCGCTCTCCTCCGGCATCCCCTGCTCATGACACACCTTGGTTTGAACCCAAGCCTAGCCAGACGTTTTCTGCCTCCATACGGTTTTCTGCCTTTGGCAATGAAGCACACAAGGGTTTCTCTATGGAAAGAAAGACCACATCCACTCATCTCACCCCTGAAGAAAAACACTGTGCATGGAAGGAAAAAAACCACAACTCACTAACAGGGCTGAGCCTGCTGGGAAGTTCTGAGCTACAGAAGAAACCAAGGATGACAGGAAAACTGCCTTTAACCATCATGTCCTTGCTGTTCAGGTCTCCCCAATCCTCCTCATCCTCATTGTCACCATACACAAACATGAACTGAATCTGCAAATACCCTTCCCTCACTTCCCTATGTTTGGTGGCACTTTATAACCTGCTCCTCACCACCACCCCTTTTCCTCCAAGCACACCAGTCCTGCCAAGGTCAGGCAGTAATAGCTTTTCAGACTGGAATGCAAACAAACTGTGCGTGCTCCTTCACCTGGCTGGCCACTTGTGGGAAAATGGGGCTTCCGCAGAAGCGACACCCACTGCCCCGCTGTTACTCCACAGCGTTGTGGTCATCCTGCTACCGTCACCCCTGTTCACAAGCTAGTCAACAAAGAGCTGCAGGAAAGCAGCAAACCTGCCATAGATGCAACAAAAGTTAAAAAACATACAAAGCCGGAATAGCAGTATTAGGGCAGACGGAAAACAGGAACGTGACCATGAGGCATTTCCAAGGACAAAGTGCTTGAATTTACCCAGCACAGATTAAGGCCTGGCCCAGCCAGCCTTGGAAGTGCTGGAGCTAATGCCCTTTTAATCCTCCTTGCTTGCTTCCAGGCACTAAGGGACTGTCCAAGCCTAGTAAGATATGCTGGAGTTTTCTCTCAAATCCTGAACTTTACCCTTTACTAAAGCCTGCAGAAGGGAAGGAAACAAAGTCTATTCATTAGTCACATGAAGGATCAGGGCGGCTGGCCCTGTTTCATGAGCCGTAATTAGCACATGAGCTGTCTGCCCCTCACGAAATCTGAGCCCGGGATGGCTGGGGACAGCGACAAGTCCCTAAAACCAGCGAGCCCAGGAGGCAGGGCACGGCCGCCTGCCCAGCGCTCTGCCTGATGCGGCTCATCAGGCAGGCTCTACTTCTGCGTGCTAACACGCTGAGCCTGGCCTGCCGCCGAGCCCTCCAGGCCCCAAACCAACTGGCTGTGGAAGGTACAGGAGGCCCTTCACCGGGCCGCTTCAAAGCCACATTGTTCTGGCAGCCAGTCCGGCTCCTCGGGTGTGACAGCTTTGGGGTTTGTCTGATTCCAGTCTGCTGCCTCACAAATTGCTCGTATCAACCCAGAACCGCTGAGGACTGTGATATGGGTTGAACCGGAGCATCAGCTCTTCTCCTGCCTGGCATTTGATGTGCTCCTGATGACTGCAACCATGTTATAAAAGTTATCTGGAATCGTCAGATAAGAAACAAATCTGAGCTTGGCATAACTGACACAACAGAGCTGTACATTGCTTCATGCCATGACTAAGTTTCACAGCTTTGCTTCTTTTCAAGTTTATTGTCTCTGCCCTTGTGGCAGGGGACAGCCCACGGCAGGGCTGGCGATCCCACCCAGCTGTCCCAGCAGCAGCACACTGGCAGTACAGTCAATAGCGCGGGGTAGTGCGGGAGCCGGGGACAGAAGACACTGCACAGGCTCCTGTCCCCTTTGCTCCCTGTCACTGATCTGAAGCACCCAAAACCAGCCAGGTGCTGTTCAGAAGCCCTTCGCCTGTGACATGCTCTGCCATAGCTCATCAGAGACTGTGTGCCCCTCCTCCAAGTCAGGCCCTTAACCAGCGTTCCCCACAGTGCTCAGTCTTGCTGGCTTTAAATTCCTCAGCAAAGCCATCCAGCACCTTCTCACCCATTTCTACAGGTGTTTGAGGGCACCAGCATTTCGCGGCACGAGACAGCAGCAAGCAACGCAACAGTCCTTTCTCCCAACCTCCCTTCAGTTCATAAAAGCCCTGGCCCAAATCAGCATCCTGTACAAAGTCTCCTTGATAAGCTTCACACTTTTGCTTCCCTTGAGGAAACTTCAGCACCAGCTCAGTCAGGACTTCCACCATTCAGCTGTACTGCTCCTCCAATGATGGGGGGGACAATGCGCTTTCTAGAGAGAACAGAGATATGGCTCCAAACCTAATTCAAGGATGGTGATGGACACAGTCTTGCGCTGACATAGTGCTGTGGGTATTTGGGTCTCTGAACTCCTCCTCCTACTCCTTTCCTATGAATCAGCTCATAGTCTTAGGGATCAAAGAATTCAACTGCTGCCTTTGCCCCTCCTCCAGACAGAATGTGCACAGAAGACATGGCAGTGCCTCTTTGAGAAGATCTGCCTTGCATGGAGCCATCTGACTGCAGTGTTATTGACAACAGCTGGTATCTGCTGCCCACCAACTCCCAAGGTCCCAGTCACAGAGGGGTGCAGGGACACCTGTAAGGTGGAATCCAAATGGCTGTGGGGATTTTTCTGGCACATTGTGCTGTATCTGCCCCTCTTCCTCACCCATGAGCCTCTCTTACCTGCTCCCTCTTTACAGTCTCAACTTTTCCTGGTCCTCATGCTCACATCAATCCTCAATCATAACAGATCCTCTTCATGTCTGTGCTATACCGCTACTTCTCTCCCTTGCCTGCCCTCACTCACTGAAATAACCCATCTCTGTCCCTTTCAGTATTGCCGTAATTACCAGTTATTCCAGACTTCCAGGGTCAGGAGAGAGCATTGATGGTTTCCTCTCCATTCTCTCACTCAGAGCACCTCCTTGAAATTAGATTTTCCATTTCGAAGTTTCTTTTCACTCCTAGATGGAGGCGCAGTCAAGTTCCCTTTTGAGGGGAGAATCCAAACTACGATGCTTCAGCATTCTTTGGAAATTTTCCCACTGGTCAGAAGTACGGTATTTAAAAAAAAAAACCCAAAACCCACACAACAAAAACAAATACCAAACGCCCCAACCAAACAGGTCTATATTCATCTTAGTTGGGAAGACACATCATGGTCCAAAACCAGGACGGAGGCAACTTTTGTGACTAAATCTCTGGACTGGGAACAAGAAGCTAGAAAAACTACCCTGCAACTGACTCATTCTGTGACAGATCACTGAGATTATCTGAGCATCGGTTTACTTGTCAGCAAAATAAATGGGACTTACAAGATTAACATTAATGAAGGAATTTGAGAAAGTCACTGCAGTGTGCCACAGAGGATTCTTTTTTAGGCTTCATAGCCTTCATCTAAAGCCATTTTGGACTTTCTAAGCTGTATCAGGCATCCATGACTTTGCCCAAGTAATTTACAAGAATGCAGTATTAGCTTTCTGCAGACAGCCCAAAGCAGCAGCGCTATGCAGGTTTGGTGATCAGACTCATGGGTTCAACACGCAGCTGCCACGGACCTACCAAACAAGTTTGGGTAAGCCATGTTCGCGTCTCAAATTAAACAGGGAAGATAGCATTTATCCATGTCCCCAGGATGTTGATAGACAGTGTTCAAAAGGAGAAAACATTCATATTTTCAGCCACCAGCCCTTCCAAGTCCTCCACACCCGAGTTCCTTTCTCACATGCTGTAATTCCTCCACCCCTTTGTACTCCCATAACCCCAATCAATCCCACTGCCACACTTCTGGTGCTAAGGACTCTAAACTCCTGTTTGACAACACTCTTGAAACACTTTTTTCCTCTTCTTTGCTGTTGGTTTGTTGCTTGAAAATCCCTTCTTTAACTGATGCAAAGCCCAGAGGGAAACCACTTGCAATCTGGTGACTATACTGATTAGAAGATCCGGAGGGCAAGAAATGATCTGTGACATCTAAAGATAACTTCAGATTGCCTCTACCCGAACACAAAAATGTATCTGATGCACTCACTGAGGGAATCAAAGAGCATTCATTCTGGAAGGGGCAGGACATGGCTTCTCCTGAAAAGTGTGATGAAACATGTGACATTCATCTGCAGGGATGTCAAAGACCATCTGGAGGTTTTTGTTACAGAAAACCATCCCTGGCAATCTTTCCCCGACCTTGCTGTAGTGCATCTCACCTCTCTCGCCCAACGCTAGAGAGCGGCGCATGGCAATGCCTCCTACCCACATCATTTGGACACTGCATTGGGCAGCCTCTAAAACAAGCAGCACTTATAAAAGCATTACCTAAAGCAACTGCTTGCTCCCTTCCCACCCCAGCCACAGCAGCATATTCACCCATGCAAGTACACTGAAAACTACTGAATCAGGGACCAGATGTTCACAGTGAAGAACAAAAGTCTGCGCAAGTGACAAAAAGCAACACTGAGCAAGTGCATAAACTTACAAATGGTCGATGCACATGCTGGAGAGCTTGAACTGGCAACATTAACCTTCAAGCACAACCTGAAGGCGCTTAGATAATACAAAATGGGGTAAAAATATCTTTATTCTAAGTATTTTAAGAACCGCATCTGTTTTGAGACCAGTGTGGCTTGGATGGTCTTATTCTTTCTAATTATAGTACCTCTTTGCTCCACTTTCTCAGAGTACGTCCTTCTCCTGTTTACCTAGCTGACCTTAGCACAAGTGCTAAGAGAGACGGCGTGTCTGCAGGCCCGCAAGGTCACAGAGTGGATGCTACGCTCCTACCGTTGATTTCCCTCACAGAGCTGGGACTCGGCCCCGTGTGAAGGCCTGTGGTGTGGGGGATGTGCTCTCTGCAACACCAAGACATGGCCCTGGCAGCCCCTGCCTGTCCCAGACCCCCGTGCTGGGGGGTTCAGGGCGGGCAGCCACCCCCTGGGTGCCCAGGGCGCTCGTCCTCCAGGCAGGACACACTGATCCGACTGGGTGAGCCCTGACACCGCAGGGCCAGGCCAGACCCAGGCCCCTGTCCCCAGGCAGCCTCCAGCTCAGTGATG